TTCTTTAACTTTTCCTTCTGCCAAACGCCTTAGGCCTCTCGACGGTAATATAGGCCCACCCGCCGACAGATTCACCTCTCTCACTCTCTCTCTCCGCCCACTCGCCGCCCATTCTCACCCGCTCACTCATCCTCCCACCCCTTCCCACCCACCGCTTACCCACCCAATACCCACACATTCACCCCCCAACCTTACTCCCCTTCACTGCCCACCTCTCTCCCTCCCTCCGTCCCTCTCCTTCTCCCATCCTCCCTCTGCCCCTCTCTCTCTACCACCTCCCTCCCTCCCTTCCTCCCTCCGTCCCTCCCTCTCTCCGTCCCTCCCTCTCTCCCACCTCCTTCTCTCCCTCCGTCCCTCCCTCTCTCCCTCCTTCCCTCCGTCCCTCCCTCTCTCCCACCTCCCTCTCTCCCTCTGTCCCTCCCTCTCTCCCACCTCCCTCTCTCCCTCCGTCCCTCACTCTCTCCCTCCTTCCCTCCGTCCCTCCCTCTCTCCCACCTCCCTCTCTCCCTCCGTCCCTCCCTCTCTCCCTCCTTCCCTCCGTCCCTCCCTCTCTCCCTCTCTCCCCTTCGCACCCATTCATTCCCAAACCTCCCTTGTCCCCCCCTACCCACCCCCACCCCCTCCCAACCCACCCCCACCACCATCTTCTCTCCTCGACCCCCTTTTTATGTCAAAGTCGTGCAGGTTCCGCGCGTGTGTTGGCAGGTCCTTCATTTAGGGAAGTTTGTTTCTTGGCTCCATTACGTGTTGTGGGTCGCCATTTTTTTTCTCTCTCTCTTCTTCTTCTTTTTTATCTCTTTTTTATGCCGTTTTGTCCGTCTCGTTTCTGTGTGTTCTGTCTTGTCTCACTGTCTGTTTCGTGAGTCTGTTTGTCTGTCAGTCTCGTCTCCCCCCTCCCCCCCTCCCCTCCCTCCACCCCGTTTAGGTCGGTTGTTCGTTTACTTTCGCCCTCTTTGTATATATATATATATATATATATATATATATATATATATATATATATATATATATATATATATATATATATATATTTATATCTGTTTATCTGTCTATCTGTCTATCTATCTACCTAGCCCCCCCCTCTCTCTCTCTCTCTCTCTCTCTCTCTCTCTCTCTCTCTCTCTCTCTCTCTCTCTCTCTCTCTCTCTCTCTCTCTCTCTCTCGCTCTCTCGCTCTCTCGCTCTCTCTCTCTCTCTCTCTCTCTCTCTCTCTCTCTCTCTCTCTCTCTCTCTCTCTCGCTCTCTCGCTCTCTCGCTCTCTCGCTCTCTCGCTCTTTCTCTCTCTCTCTCTCTCACTCTCTCGCCCTCTTTCTCTCTCTTTCTCTCTCTACTTCATCATCCCTGTATTTATTCCAACAAATGTTCCGAAATTCATTCAGATAAATACACTGATACACCTAAAACTTTAGTATACGTATACATTTACACACAATATTATTCAATACATCTCTTTCCTTATCCAAAGCCATCTGTAACGTCCACAAAAGCATATATCCAGTTTGATTTTTTTTTTTTTTTTTTTTGTATATTTAAATAAGATGGAAATAGACACAGATATAGATGCCTTGTTTAGTAGTGATCCATCAGATATTCATAAAGGGTAAGACGTCGGTCTATATAATCTGTCAAAACACATGAATTGTTGGGATAAAAATGATTTCTTTGTTAATTCTTGTGTACTCATGTGTGGGTGTGTTTCTTCTTTAATATCTTCATTCTCCTAATATTAAAAGAAAAATATATGGTGCTTGTTCATTATTGCTGTTATGTTTTATCTAGAGAAACAAGATACAAAATACAGAGGATATTACATCAATATTTTCTAACGTTACATGATTTCTGATTCATCTTATTTTTCATGCTCAGTAATTAACTGTTTAATAATGAAATAAACTTCTCATGCAGCGATCGAAGTCACAGAGCCCAGGTATGCAAATCACGTTTTCATACCGATATCTCACCAGACACACACTTTTATATTCTTTATTTATTTTTTTTTTTTCTAATGGCTACACTGACCTCCGTTCTCTCTCCTCCCGACCTTAAATCCGCTAACGACCACCTCTCTCTAACAGCAACCTCGAATTATTCGATAATCTAATCTCTCTGACTTCATCGGGAACTTGTCTCAATCT